TATCCAAAAACGAAAAATTCCTTCAAAAATAAGATCAAATATGCTCCAGATCTGATAAAATTGATTAATACAACCAAGCTCTGATACCACTTGTAAGTCCCAAATCTGTTTGTGTATCAATCAGATCCGTTTGATGGTGCAGAATCTCAATCAAACGGATGATGCCAGATCTAATGAAGAAGAATGAGAAGAAGAAGATGATGAATCTTGTATGATTTGATTAGAATGAAGATCCAAATACAAGATTCACATACAAACACACACACTTAAGCTCCTCTTTTCTCTCTAACTTTCTCTCTCTACGATAAACTCTCACACATTCATCTACCACTCATCACCCCTAACACCTATATATATATATACTTGGGGAATATGGGCCGTAAATGGGTTTACGGCCGTGAACGGGTTTACGGCCGTAAACCCGTTTACGGCCGTACACTCCAACCTGGCCGTGAACACAGCCGCAAACACTTAAAACACTACAGAAAAATACAGTTGTCTAGAAAAAGCAAAGTATAAACCATAATTTTAGACCCAACAAAGTCAATAGGCTCAATCACTTCCCCAAGGAGCATACCCGAAATCTACAAAGAAAAAGAGCACACCTTGACGAAATTTTCATTTTCACATCTTTGGAATGCTACCAGTAACTTCAACAAGATTTTACAGATCTGAGAAGGTGGGTTTGAGAGTGTTTACAAAGCAAGAATCAGACTTTCAGAAACTCAAAATAATTTCATTGCCCAAAGGCCCACACAGCTTTACGAATTAAGTCTCCTTCTCGCGGCAGGCGTCACGGACTCACGGTGTTAAAAAACTTCTATTCTCCGTCAAACTGTGCGACGACGAAGACAAGGGGATCAATCCGAACACCGATCTATTGTTGTTAGTTGTTAACAGCTGAAAATTAGCTTTCTGAAGGTAAGATGTTTATTTATTTTGCCGCTTAGTAATTGATGAGATTTGCTGCTAATGTTACGAACCTATGAGGAAATATCGCGCTCCGGTTCCCTATTTCTGGTTGAGTTTTTTTTTTCTTTTTCAAATAATTAACTTAATTGTTTGGAATTTATGCATAATATAAGGTGAATCGAAGGAACTATTGTGTCATTAGTGTTGCCCATAACCTGTTTGTTAAATTGTCTAAGTGTGTTTTGCTTCCATTTTTATTTATTTTGGTTCGAGACACAGGGATCTCTTCCCTTTATGTGTTGGTTAAGGGCTCATTAAGCACAGATTCAAGATAGATGTTAAGCAGACATCACTACCACCATATCATTATATATATATAAACTGCTAATACACATTGCTAGATGAACTGTGACTTTTAGGGACAAAACCCAACTAGTGTGACTAAAGTAACATATAAAATCAGTTATACTTTATATAGAATACTTTGATTTACTACTAGTTTTAACATGTTTGTTTGGAATGTTACTTAAGTTTTCTTGGTGGCTATTACAATTGGCTAAAGTTTTATCATGAGTTTTATTTTTCATATTTTTTCAGATGTTTCAAGATTTACCTATGGATTGTTTGCCATCATTGAGTTCATTTCCTTTACAACTCCCCCACATAAAGTTATTCTGACAGAATGTCATTCTCATAGAATGTCAGCGTGTTTTTAAGTGGTTTAAGGGTCAAACATATACAAGACATCTAGGAACGAACCAAGAAGGTGAATGGGGATTCTTTCAAGAATGACGATATTTTTTTGCAACAGATTTCAAGAATGACAGAATACACTCAGTTAGAATTTAAAATGATAATTGCACTTAAAGTTTAATGCACTTTTTGTTTACAACATTCTGCTAGAATGAAATCACGAATTCCAATTCTATCATAATAGAATCTTGAATTCCAAGTCAACTTAAGCAGTAAATTATCAAACACACCACATAATGGAATCATGTAACCAATTTTGTCAGAATAGAATTGGTCTCCATTCTTGTTAGTGGTCTCCCTTCTATCAGAACTTATTGTTTTATTCTATTTGAATGTACTAACATTTTTAATATTTGAAAGTTGATTATATTTTTCTTTATGGATTTAGGTTTTTAAGAGGTTGTCATTGATGTGGAAAAGAAAGAAAATACGGAGAACAAGAGTGTATTCTAGTAGAATATATTCTGCTAGTATGTATAAAGTGATTCTTAGCAATAATATTCTTTCAGAATTGATTCCTTTTTAATCATTTTTAGTTATAACCTTCAAGAATAAATGTAATTCGTAACCATTATTAGCCATATATTTTTTTTTTAAAATGAATGTAATTGTTGTTTATAGTCTTATTCTGTAAGATTAATGAAATTATTAATTCTTAAAGAATAAAATGTGTTTCATATAAAATCGGAATTTTTTAGAAAATGTTATTCTTGATAATATATGTTGTATAAATCTTTCAGAATGTTAATTATCATAAATATGTTGAATGAGATTCTGTAAAAATAAAATCGGGAATATTTTTACTAGTTTATGGTTGACATTTGGTCGTTATGAAAGAATAAATTCGATTATTATTCAAATTACGTTGAAATTAAAATTAAAGTAATTAAAAAAAATTCAGATTTTTAAAATTAAGATAATTAATGATCCATTAAAATCTGAAATTCTTCTTTTTTAAATATAGTTAATTGTCCAAAATACCCTTATGATGAAATTTATGTGATTATATGATACATGTTATCCTATTATAATATCATAGACCCTCAAACCATGACCATTAATTATATTCATCCATTGTTCCGGAATTATCCTTATGGGCACACAATAGATGTAAGGAATACAACAACCTAGCCCTATATATATATATATATATATATATATATATATATATATATATATATATATTTATATCCTTATGGGCACACAATAGATGTAAGGAATACAACAACCTAGCCCTATATATATATATATATATATATATATAATATATATATATATATATATATATATATGATCAAGTAGGAACTCAAAAAATTATAGGAACCGTGAGGACAATTTTTTAGGCTTAAGATTGAAAAAATAAATGGCCAGTATTTGATTTTATTATCGTCAAAATCTCGCAAGATGATTTGACATTTTCATAATTAATTGCGAGATTTTGATAATTTCCGATGAAGGTTGATTGTTTGGAGGGTACAAGTGACAAAAACAAAAAGATTAAAAGAAAAAGGAAAAAAACTTGGCCATGTGGCCTCTTCAGGCGCTGACACGTGCCCCCAGCCCAATATTACAAGTGTCCAACCCTTATTGGCTAGGGAATTTTTGTCCCCTTAGTTTTTCGGCCATAATTTTGTTTTCTTTGAACAAAAACATTATGAAAAAACCAAAGTTCTTAAAGTTTAATACTCTACAAAATGAGCACAATCATAAAAATATGAAAAAAATTATTTTTTTTCTTTTTATATCTATTTTTTTATATTTGTAAAAAAAACACAGAAAAAAAAAAGTTCTCCAAAAATCATAAAAACTTAAGAAATAATTATACTCACTATTCTAATGACTTTCTCAAAATAATTTTTAAAAAATAAGGTGTTGTAGATACCAAACTTGATTTTAAAAGTTTAGAAGGTTTTTAAAAAACTATTTAACATAATTTGATCCAAATAGACATGATTCAAAATATTAATGATTTAAAAATATTATGATTCAATATGTTTAAGGTCCTTAACTTGTTATGATATAAAAATATTTTGATTCAAATATTTAATGATTCTTAATTATTATATTTTTTATGATTCAAAAAATATGATGATCCAAATATTGTACTGAACAAAAACTTTATTTAATTCAATATATTATTATCAAAATTAAGATGATCCAAAAATATATAATGCATAATATCGTTATGATTCAAAATACAATGATTCAAAATTTTATGATCCAAAAATAAAAAAATTAATATATATATATATATATATATATATATATATATATATATATGAACGGAAAATATTATGATCCTTAATATTCTTCTTATTTAAATTTTATAATTGTTAAACATTTAAAACTCAAGCCGAAAATAAAGAAATTAACAAAATAAAAACGAAAATAAATAAAAAAAAAAACCAACTATCTTAAAATATGTAGTAAAAATATTAAAAATAACAAAAGAAAAACCAAAAAGAAAATGAAAAAAATAACTTTTTAAAAAAATTAAAAAAAAAAATAAAATAATAACAAAAAATTAAAAAAAAAACGGAAAACAATTAAAAAAAACGTTAAAACCGAGCATGTATCTGCTTAATTTTTTTTTTGAATTTTTTTTAATTAAAAATAAAACAAAACGAAAATAAATGAAAATGGAAAAAAAAACTCATTTAAATGACGTTCCATGGACATTAGTCGCACATGATTATTCCCTCGAGTCTGTATTACATTCCATGCATGTGCGCTGCATGCGAACGCGTCACGACTAAGTAAATAGGTTTGACGTTTGCACCCTTGATGAAATTCTTGTTGGAGAATAGTCTTCGCCGTTCCTACCAATTTTTGGGTTCCGACCGGATCCGGACCCTATATATATATATATATATATATATATATATATATATATATATATATATATATATATATATATATATATATAGAGAGAGAGAGAGAGAGAGAGAGGAATGATCATTTGAGAACTTATTGTTTCCCGAGAACCCGAGAACTAAAGGTGGAGCGTTAGATCAAAACTTTTAATGACTTATATCAAAACTGACATAATTGTAAATATCAATTATTTTAATGTTATCTTAGACTTTTTAAAAATGATGAGAGGGGTATATTGGGCATAAAATATATAATATCCTAATAATCAGTTTAATTAATTAATAAAACGTCATTTTCTCCTTTTTTTTAGCCACAGACTTTATTTCTCTTTCTCTATATTTGTCCATCTCTTACACACACACACATTACATTATTCATCACTCTGCCATGGGGAGGTGTCGCATCCGTCGTCGAAAACATTGACGAGAGACCGAGAAATCTCTCATTCATAGTCGATTTGATCAAGTGCAAACATAATATCATGTACGATTCATATAATCTGTTGATTGTGCTTCTAATTCTCGATCATGTTCATCTGTGAATTGTTATTCTTAATCCTTTATTAACGATATCACCATTGAATCCTGTGCTTATTCTTGACTGTTAAAATTGTTATGATCGATCTCTGATTTGAAACAGAAACCATTCGATTTAGCTCTCAATTTCAATGGTCGAATTCAATTGCAGAGTCTCATCATTCACGTTCAAAAATCTCTTTCATTCCTTCCTCATGTCATCATCTTGCCTTCTGATGTTGTCGCCTCATCAATCGATGTGAGGATGTGAACACCAAAATCCTCCAACGATCGAGATTGATCCTGGTTATTAGGATACCATAAGTCTTCAACATTAATCTCTCTCTCTCTCTCTCTCTCTCTCTCTCTCTCTCTCTCTCTCTCTCTCTCCTCGCTCTCTCTCCCTCTCTCTCTCTCTCTCTCTCGCTCTCTCTCTCTCTCTCTCTCTCCTCTTTCTCGTCACCATTAAACCACCTACTCCTAATCAACAGTGATTGTGAAATCTCACCGAGGATAGAAATCGCACATACAAACTCGAAGTAGATCCATTTTCATCGTGAATCAGGTACATTCATCTAAATCCCTAGAAATTGGATTTTTTTCTTTCTCATGCGGATGTTCAATTAATAAATTTGTGTCTCCGCCACAACATTGTTCTGCAACTAATTGTAGGTGCACAAGAATTCTTAATGGATGGATTTGAGCTTCACCCGTAGCATAAATTACAATCACATTACAGAAAATGCTGCTTCAGGAGCAACAATCATGACAGTTGCTTCATGAACAGTTGGCCCAAAATCAGATGTTAAACTACCTTGTTTTTGGTCCTTTAGGCTTTAGTGATGCTGTCAAACTTAAGGTTTTTCATATACTTGATTAATTTTATACTTAAGACTTAAGAGTTAGACAATATGTGGAACCCCATTAGATAATATGCAAATTGCAGGGAGAATGTTTAGTCTTGTCTCCCTTAACATCATGGAGAAAGATTTAACTAAGTGTTGATTAAAGCGTAACCTTTGAGGAAATACTAAGAAAGATATTGGATTGTCTTTCAATCCATGGCTACAGGTGGTTCTTGGCTTGGATTAAACTCTAGTATGTGCCTATGAGACATCTAGTTTACCTGATAGTGTTCGAAAACAAGCTAAAGATGTTGGATTGACATGGTTTGAGCTAGAATGCATAGCTTTTGAGAAGGTGAGAAACGGTTATATTCATACATCACTCTTAATAATCTTCATTATTCATATAAAGTTAACTGATAACATATCTGGATCTGAAGGAATATGATGGAAATCTCAAGATCAACTATGTGATAGTATTTGAACGCCCTGGACTGCATAAATTTCTTTCCCAACTTAGCAAAGTTGCTGATCTTGTACTATTTACAGAAGGAATTGAAGGTTTGCTTATGACTTTACTTTTTTTTTAATATCTGATATTATTATTTTTTCTTGAATATCTGATATTGAATCAAAGATGGTAAAAACAAGGTAGTTGTTTGATTACATTTTTATGTGGTGTGGGGACTGCAAATAACATTGGTGTAATATCCTTCAACAAGAGTAGTTTCAAGGAAGGTTGCAGCTGCCTTTGGGTTTTTCTTTCACTGTGATTCATAGTAGTACTTTTATTTTGAAATTGAAATGGAAAACACAAAGTAGTTGTTTGATTACGTTTTTATTTGGTGTAGGGACAACAAATAAAATTGGTGTAGTATTAGTGTTAGGTAGAGATCTGGTAGTAGTTCCAAAACTGGTTCATCTTGCACTCTCATCACCCAAATTTTCCCGAGAATGGCATATAAAAGATACTTGGATGCAGGTGTTATTATCACCATTATTATCTTTGTTTATGTTTATGGGTTCAATACAAGATATAGCTAAGCAATTGAATTTTCTCTCTATCCAATTAAATATGAATGTGATTTCAATTCCTATAAGTGAAATTCATTGTTAATACTAATGTTCTTTTCTCTATTTTTAGGCAATTTGTGATGAATTCTTTGGCTAATTTATCTACCGAGATAAGTTTCAACAAAGATTATTCGTTGAACTAGCTTTCTCATGTGAATCTCTTTTTGTTATTAATATTATTGTAGTAATCTTAAATCATAGTTATCTGTTCACTTTCTAATATATATATATATATATATATATATATATATATATATATATATATATATATATATATATATATATATATATATATATATATATATGCATGAGAACTCAACTATATAATAAGATTCTTAATTATTTATGTATATTTTATGTTGGATACTCTTTCTTATATATTTGAGTTGAAATTCGATATCGGTACTTGTCTGGAATTAGGTGAAGTACATAGAGAGGTGGGACTCCCTCCTTATATTCTTAATATTCCAAATGAGTAAATGGATTAGGTCAAGAAGCAGGTGCACCATTAGGAGCTCATACCAATGTTCACAAGGTCTAGTTCTTATTTCCTTTAAATTTTATTCACCTCTTTCATGCAAAATTATTAAAATGGTGAAAAGTGATTCTTTTACAGATTGCATTCATGGGAAGCAGTGTCATATATAATTATATATGCATGAGAACTCAATTATAAAAGTGAAAGAACAAGACTAGTATGAAGAACAAGGACCGCCACGTGGATATGATTCAAAGTGTCATCCAACAACTCTTCCATCAGGTCAATCATAATTGATAATGGTTCATGTTGGAGTTTTCTTGAATTTTTGTTTTTGTCTGAATCATGTTGTGATGGTTATAAGTAAATCACATGTAAGTTATATGTGAATTACATGTGATTCACATGTAAATCACAAGTGAATCACATATGAATCACATGTGATTCAAATGTAAATCACATGTAACTCACATATGAATTACATGTGATTCACATGTAATTCACATATGAATCACATGTGATTCACATGAAAATCACAAGTGAATCACATATGAATTACATGTGATTCGCATGTAAATCACATGTAATTCACATATGAATTACATGTGATTCATATGTGATTTACTTGTGATTCACATGTAAATCACATCTGAATTACATCTACATGCATACATGTATTTTGTGTGAGTATTCTTCGTTAATTTTTTTTATTTTTTATTGTGAATTTCACATTTGAAAATTAAAATATACAATCACATGTGAATATCACATTATATAATCACATGTGAATCTTACATGATATAATCACATGTGATTCTTACATGATATATACATATGCATTTTTTGTGAGTGTTCTTGCATTAATCATGATGAGATAAAAACTCTAAAGATCGATTGGATTCAAATAGGTATAAGCAATCAAAGACAAAATATAGATCAAGAATGTGTCGAATGATTATAAATCACAGCCTCAAAAGAGGTCGATGAAGAACTTCTACTGTAGAAGTGTGTAGGGTTTACAATGACACGATTAGAAATTACACGATGTTGCATGCACCTTAAATAATAAAACCCTAATCATTAAACACGGGTGGACAGGCCCAACCCGGATATACAAAAGACTAAATACAAAGGCCCAAAAGATGCAACACTTAATACTCAACAATCTCCCCCTTTGTTTCGATTGAGGCGAGAGTCCTTCACGGCTGAGTTCGCTTCTGCACTTCAAAAACTTTCGGAATGAAGCTCAGCAGAACCTTTGCGAACTTGGATATACCATTGAATCATATCTGAAAAGCACTTCTTGTCGCCTTTGCTGTTACCCCTGTGCTTGTTGACAAAGTCCAAGACATACTCCAGGCAACCAGTAGTAAACAGATGCTTATCAGCAAGAAAGAAGCAAACCTTATGAAAGTCTGCATCGTTTCGTTCTTTCAACTGAAAGGCCACATACCATCCTTCCTTTTGTATCTTCCCAGGCTTTAACTTCTCAAAACCTTTTGGGACTTCCTTAGGGAGAACACTCGGTTTCCTTCGCAGGACAGCAGCAATCTCCATATCCATTTTGCCTACCTCTTGAATGTATGAGATCAACATCAGCTTGAGGTGAGAAATAACATGCTCCTATTTCTGCCTGTCTCTCAGCAACAAGTTATAAAGCATGATCCAGTCATAAGGGTTAAGGCATGGCAGATCAGCAAGGTTGAATTCGTGGACCAGATTGGATGTACCTCTCACAACCTTGAACTTCGCATTTGGGAAGCTGTCGATTTCAATTGGACCAGTGACCTTCACAGCCGTAATCTTGCTCGCACTCCACGTCTCGTATTGTGGCTTCATATGCTTGAGATAGAACGATCAAAGTAAGTGGTCTGCGCCGCTATCTGTTGTTGGGACATTCGCTACTTTCACAAAGCTGCGAAACCTGAAAGCTTTTGGAGTGATCAGAAGGTCCAGCTGCGAATCTTGTATATTCTGAAGATCGAATGACACAACTGGTTCCAGCCAATACTGACTTGGAATATCCACAGCTTCACTTTGAATACGCTTCAGAGTCCACACTGGAAATAAAAGCTTTCGGCTTTCCAGCGTGACCGGACCTTCACGTTCAGCTTTTTCTTTCACTTCGGCCTCGCGAATTATTCTTTGGTGTTCTTCCATCTGAGCTTCACGTTCCTTTCTTCTTTTTAGCTCATTTCTGTCAGGCTCTTCATCTTCACTGTTATCGATAATTGGTTCTTCACTGAAAAAGCTTTTCTTTTCCTTTTGGATCAATTTTGCTTTTAGGCTTGTTAATGGGCTTGACTGAAGGTTTGGGGTCTTTCTTTTTAGATTGTGTCACACCTTCTCCCCCTCGTTTTGGAATAGAGCTTGATTCCGGATGTGACATCCCCAAAATCACGGCCAGAAAAGACCGATTTGTTTATGCTTTGTTTTATAAATCAGAGTAATCTTTAAAAAAAAACAGTTGCGGAATTTGTTCCCAAAACAAAATGTGATAAGAATTTATCAAACAATTTCTTTAAAGAAATGTATTTTCATTAAATAACAAAATCTCGGGATGTCATGTTCCGATACAGACCAAAAGCATAAACAGTATAAAATAGACCTTACAACAGTCATTTATAACTACTGATCTATAATCCAAAATCTCTCGTCAAGTCCACCAACTTATACTCTTGTGCCATTACCTGTAATGCAAAGAAAACTGGGTGGGTCAGGCTTGGGAGCCTGGTGAGCGTATAAGGTTTTCAACCCACAATAATATAATTATTATATTTAATCATCAAACAATCAACTCAATTACCCATCCCCATTATCTTCATTTAGTCTTCCCTAAAGATATTATCCTAAGGGTCATCTCCTATATCATATTTACCTCTCATCTCCTTACATCTTATTTCCTTATATGTTTGTTCCTAAAAACTTTTCCTAAGGATCATCGCCTACATCGCATAGACAATACTAATTCGGGGATCACTCCCTCAATATGTGTCTAGTAAGGGTTAGGGTATCATCGCATGATTACGCAGCCACAACATCGCCTCGACTCGTAAATCATAATAAGGGTTAGACTATCATCGCATTAATACGCAGCCACAACATCACCGGGACTCGTAATTCATAATAAGGGTTAGACTATCATCGCATGAATACGCAGCCACAACATCGCCTGGACTCGTAATTCATAACAAGGGTTATACTATCATCGCATGGATACGCAGCCACAACATCGACTGGACTCGTAATTCATCACCTATCTATCATCACCTAATTATCATCACCATTATATCCTCACCCATCTCTTATCACATTATTTCATCACACACCAACTATTTCATCTACCCATGTTCTACCCAACATATTTGTAGATATAAATTACATATACAGTTTAAAACTATTTAAAAACTCGTATAAAACATTCATTAAGCATCCATCTCAAGTAAACAAACAAAGTATAAACACATAACATGTATTTCACAGCAAATACTTCATATCTATGTGTTAGAAGAAAGTAACTACACACTCACTTGATTAGACGATTCTCGGACAGCACTACGGCTCGTAAAGTAGTATTCTTCGGTAAAACTGGAAGATCTTCACACACCGGGCTTCTCGCAGGCAGAGCTTCGGCTCGGAAACTCTTTTCTTCTCGGTATCTTCGGGCTTCGGGACTTGCTTCGTGTCTCGGGATGATACCGGGGCTTCGGCGGGTTAAAATAGGGCTTAGAGAGGGTATCGGGAGTGGGAGAGAAGATATTGAGCAACCAAACTCGGCTGCCCCTTGAATTCTATTTATAGGGCCATTTTTCTAGATTCACGTCGTGAATCTCAAATATTCACGTCGTGAGTTCAATAGTCATCAGGTGCGTCATCGCAACTTGCGTCTGTCAGGCTCCAGAAGTCATAAATACTGAGTTCACGTGGTGAACACTGTATTCACGTCGTGAAGTCTGACAGTTTTGGGGTTTCGTGCCCCGAACTTCAGAAATTCATAACTTTCGCATACGAACTCCGTTTTTGACGTTCTTTATATGCACGCGTAGGTGAGATTACACTCTACAACTCTCGTTTAGACTCTGTCGGCTAATTTTGAATTTATTTTTATTATATTATTTTTAGTAGGCCGGGACAGGAAAACTCCGTTAGAAATCCATAACTTCTTCGTCTGACGTCCATTTTCGTCTGTCTTTTTACCGTTGGACTACTATCAATGAGATCTTCGATTCTCATTTAGATCGTTTCGGCTAGAAATCACTCGATCTCATATTCGAACTTCGGGCTGCATACTGCTAATGCTGAAACTTCGAAAAATCATAACTTCCTCATACGAAGTCAGATTTAGATGTTCTTTTTATGCACGCTCTCGTTTTAACGTATTCTACGACTTTCATTTAGATCGCTAAGGCTAAATATCGCTCTAACGTAAATTCACTATTTACGTCGCGCTGTGTCGTGCCGGTTCTGTCGCGAAACTTCGACATGTAATAACTTCTTCGTTATAACTCGGATTTCGGCGTTCTTTATATGTACGGAATCCTTGTAACATATACTACAACTTAGTTAAGATTAATCCCTATAAATAATCTTCCATAAAAAAGTCATTTTTGATGCTTATCGTCTCTAAATTGAATAGCCCGGATCTACGGGCGTTACAATTATTTCCCCCTTAGGATGATTACGTCCCGGAATCATCAACGAAATAGGAATTGTATAATGATTCCATACGTTATCTCTTCATCCTAGGTAATAACTGTAAGTTCTATGTTTCCTCGAAAGAGTATCTAACTCTTGGACTTCTCGATAGCAGGTAGTGCTCAATCCTGCATCTGCTCTTTGTACTATGTTGGACTTTCAATCGTAACCTTCAAGTTACAAAATAAATCCTTATTGAGGACTCCTTCTTCTTCTTAGGATAAGTACTTTCCTTTATCTATTGTAACAGACCGATGGGTCGTGTTCTAATGACCTCTCATCGTATGATGCAACGCTTAGACTCAAGTCTCTTAGAGTCAAATTCCAGAATGGAATATACCTTCCTTCATATTCTAATGTGATATAATCACATCTTTACATGTAGCATTTCTAGCTACAAGCTTCCTTAACAAGGAGCGCGATGCTATCGATCGCATTGATTTCAATCTTCTGACTTACGTCAGATGCTACCTCGAACTTGGTTCTATGAACCACGTAACAAACTCATCGTAGTTGGACTCAATTTGATATGACCGCTAGGGTCAGAATATCAATCATCTTCTTAGTCACTACCGAAACAATGGTAACGACATACTTGAATAAAACGAGACCAATCACTAGCTTCTTGGTAACCTTGTGACTTTCCCTGATCCAAGCGTGAGTCATGTGCTTCCAGTAGTATAGATATCTACTACTATTCACACCTACTCATACTAGTCCCAAGTATTGTCTCGCAGTCCCCAAGTCCTAAAATCACAAAACATTTTAACACATACAAATGTGTCCAATTTATCATACAAATTTTCCTAGACTCTACTAGGACTTCTTCCATGCGTATCTGCAATCATCAATTCTAC